AACCCATAGAGTTTTGCCCCAAAAGTAGAGCGTTGTCCCCGACGTCACTGACAAGATGACGTCTGTTGGGATTCTTTGATTCAGGGTCAATGGCCGTATTGCAAACACAACAGCCACATTAGTAAAAGCAAAATATCTTTACTATAAAAACAAAATAAAACATGGGTATGGTGCTTTGGATAAAAGAAATAAAATAAAAGGTTACATACTTGCAGTTACTCTCAGTAATATACGCTAACAGCTACATCTCTATCTGTCTTGGCTTCTAGAAGAGGACTAACACTTTGGTTCACACAAAGGGCCATAAACCTTGTGAATACATTAATGCTAGATCAAAGCATTTCCACAAACAAGTTGTTAGTTGACCAATACAAAGGTTACAGGTCACTTCATTAGGATAAACAACTCCCACAAACTTTCCCGCCGTTGAATACATTATGTAACGTAACATCCTGTTTCCTAACAGACAACATTTAACTCTGTAATGACTGAAGTGTAAGCAACTTGCAATTCCAACAACGTCACTTCCTGATGTCGCACAAAGATGTCTGTTTGGGGGCAGGGTTTCCCCCACCGGCCAGCTAGCCGCCAGCAGGCTGAAGCCCGCAAATGCGGGGGATTTCCAGCCCCACTTGGGGACTGGCAAGCCCAGTGTGAGATAGAAATGTTTTACACAAATTAAATAAAGGGAGGAGCACCCTTGGGGAACACTGCATGAAAATTCATACCCCACCACCATGAATAATCAAGCAGAAGTAGATGTAGCCTGAACCATGGACACTATGGCAGCTCTTCTCCCATGCTGAAAAATTACAAACAAGGACCCCTTCCCAGTCTCTTCTCTCTCTCTCTCTACTCCCTCCTCTCCTCCATAACTGTGGTACTCACTCCAGCTGTGGTGTAGTGGTTAAGAGCGGCAGGACTCTAATCTGGAGAAATGGTTTTGATCCCCCATTCCTCTACACTCAGCCAGCTGGGTGACCTTGGGTCAGTCACAGTTCTCCCCAGAGCTCCCTCAGGCCCACCTACCTCACAGGGTGTCTATTGTGGGGACGCAGTGTTCCCTCTAAACTGAGTTAGCGTGAGCTAGCGCACAGGTTTTTAGCCTCCAGCTCACACATTTTTGCCTTAGCTCAGGAAGGAGGGCTCCAGAGCAAACTAATTGATGCAGTAGCCAAATTGCTTGCTCACAACTTTAATGCCAGCAGCCTACAGAGTAGAATTTTTGCTCACAAGGCTCCACAGCTTAGAGGGAGCACTGGTGGGGAGAGGAAGGGAAGGTGATTGTAAGCCGCTCTGAGACTCCTTTGGGTATTGAAGACTGGGGTATAAAACCAACAGTCTGGTGTAATGGTTAAGTGTGCGGACTCTAATCTGGGAAAACCGGGTTTGATTCCCCACTCCTCCGCTTGCACCTGCTGATGTGACCTTGGGTCAGTCACAAGGTCTGGCACAGCTGTCCTTGAAAAAGAGCAGTTTCTGTCAGAGTTCTCTCAGCCCCACCCACCTCACAGGGTGTCTGTTGTGGGGAGGGGAAGGGAAAGGAGTTTGTAAGCCGCTCTGAGACTCCAAGTGAAGGGCGGGGTATAAATCCAATCTCTTCTTCTTCTTCTTCCTCTTCCTTTTCCTCCTCCTCCACTGCATGAGGAGAGACACACTGGCCATTATCGTCAACCCAAGGAACCACATTACTACTGTATGCCACCCTACAAACCTACAGTAATATAAGATATACATATTAATATTAAACCTATAACCTTTTAAATTGCCAGGCTACCTCTAGAAATCCCAAGTCCCCCCGGTGGGCGGGGAAAACCCCGCCCCAGAGGCCCATTCCACGCCCTTCCCTCAATTCCCCCGCCCGCCGTGCGCCGCCTCCATGGGAACCACCCATTCCCTTGTATGGTCGTGGCCCAGCCCACAGCGTTCTCAGCGTCATAACGTCACTTCCTGGTGATGTGTGTGCGGTGCACGCGCTCCGGGATCCACCCAGGAGTCCCCTGTCGCCAAGGTAAGTTCCACTTGGCAACCCTAGTTACCTCTGAGCATGCAGGGTTGTCTCTCCCCACTGATGTTGTATTTTGGCCAGCCCCTGCGTATCTTGGAGTGAGCAGCATGGCTTCCCTCTCTGTTGTCTTGCTGCCTCCTCAGAATGAGGCACAGCGGCAAGCAAATAAGACTGCCAGAGGTTCCCAGGGGAGAGCGAACTGGCTGTGGACAAAAAGGGAATAAAACCACCACCACCACCCTGCTGTGGCCAGCTTGTTGTTTCCTCAGGTGGCCGTCTTCGGCTCACTCGCTCTCTTCCTAACAGCCACCTGATTGCTGGGATGAAATTGAAGACGCTGTGGAGAAGAGCGTTGAAAAGAATGGGCTCTTTACTTCCATCCCTGGAACTTGCAGCTTACTTATCCATCAGTCCCTAGAGTGGAAGTTTCACCTGCTCACCACAAGCCCTACAGGTCAGGGCAATGGCCTTGCTCACATTCTTGAATAAGGGTTATAAGATTATGCATGGGATAGAGCAGGTAGAGAAAGAGGTACTTTTCTCCCTTTCTCACAATACAAGAACTCGTGGGCACTAAATGCAATTGCTGAGCGGTCAGGTTAGAACGGATAAAAGGAAGTCCTTCGTCACCCAAAGAGTGATTAACACATGGAATTCACTGCCACAGGAAGTGGTGGTGGCTACAAGCATGGACGGCTTCAAAAGGGAATTAGATAAGCATATGGAGCAGAGGTCCATCAGTGGCTATTAGGCACAAGGTATAGATAGGAACTCTCAGGCTGGGGCAAGTGATGATCTGTATTCTTGGTGCTTTGGGGGGGGCAACAGTGGGAGGGCTTCTAGTGTCCTGGCCCCACTGCTGGGACCTCCTGATGGCACCTGGTATTTTTGGCCACTGTGTGACAGAGTGTTGGACTGGATGGGCCATTGGCCTGATCCAACTTTGGCTTCTCTTCTGTTCTTATGTTTTCAGACTTCAGGTAGGGCCTGGAGATCTCTCAGGATTACATCTGGTCTCCAGACTATAGAGATCAGTCCCCCTGCAGAAAATGGCTACTTTGGGGGGGGGGTGGACTCTATGGCCTTATATCCATCTGAACTCCCGCTCCTCCCCAAACCTCACCCTCCTGAGGCTCCACCCCCAAACTCCGCAGGAATTTCCCAGCCCAGGATGGGCAACCATATTAAATCTTGGAACACAGGGCAGGTGTTACATCGGGGAACAGTGCCCAGAAGAGCCACATGTGGCTCCTAAGCCACTGAGTACTGCTACTCCACAGGGACACCTAGTTGTTGGGTGTTGGACTGGATGGGCCATTGGCCTATCCAACATTGGCATCTCTTATGTTCTTATGTAAACATTGTACTCTCTGGTTGACCTTAGGCCCATCATGCTCTCTAAGACTAAGACTGGTTTCACACAAGAGCTGCGCCGCGGTCACGCCTCCCTTTGCCCTGCTTCTATTGGTCAATTTCCCACTCAAAGTCATGCAGCCGCATTTTGACCCGCGGCTTTTCCAGATTTTCCCCGTGGTTTTGTGATCCTGTTTTTTGAGAATCACGAAACCGCGGGGGAAATCATGTGAAGCCGTGGGTCAAAATGCGGCTTCGAGTGGGAAATTGGCCAATAGAAGCGGGGCAAAAGGAGGCAGGAGCAGGCGCTGCTCTTGTATGAAATCCCTCTAAGTCTAACCTACCTCACAGCCAAATGACGAACTGTTAAGGACCCCTTAACCTCTGAGCCAGGGCAGTCCCTATTTAGCACCTTAAAGACTAACAAAATATGTGAAACTTTCCCAAATACCCCACCATCCTTTTAAACCAGTCCTCCTCATGGTATTTGGGAAAGTTTAAAAAATTTGGGGTGATTAGTCAGTTAATAGGAAATTGAGAGGTTAATTTGATTATAAGATTAAGAGGGAAGGTTAATAGTGGAATAGAGTTGTACGGAGATTGATTGTGATATAATACTGTATGGAACTTCATTTACGTCTCTAATGCCTGGAAGTTGCACATGGGTGGTGTTGGTGTTGGATTTTTTTATGAAATAAATAAATAAAAAAAACTAACAAAATATGCGGCAGGGGAGGAGCTTTTGTGAGTCACTCTTCACTTCTTCAGTCTTTAAGGTGCAACTGCTTTTAAGTGCCCTCCCCGCCTGAGAGAATGAAGATTCCCAGTCTCTTCCCACAATTAGAAAAGACACCTTTAGGCATTTCTCTGCTAGTCTGACATATTTATTGCTTTACAACTGTTGACCTTAACTTGGGGTTAACTCAGTGTGACTCTGCCTATCTTGATCATCATCATGTTGCATGTTAATTTGCTGTTCATTCTCTGGCAATACGTTTGAACCTTTTTTTGCCATTCTATGTATTTGATAAAGTGTGCCTGCACACAAAAGCTCATAACTTAAATAAACCTTTGTTGGTCTTAAAGGTGCCAGAAACTCTTAACTTTGTTGTGCTACTGCTACAGACACACTAACAGGGCTACCCATCTTGATCTGGCCTATATATAAAGCAGAACGCAGGCGGGGCGGGGCAGGAGCGAGTTTCCACGCCCTTCCATCAATTCTCCCGCCCGCCGTGCTGCCTCCATGGGAACCACCCGCGCGCGCCCCCCTCATTCAACGCCAGCCTTCACGTCTCTTCTCCCGCTTCTCCCTCCGCAGACGGGAGAAGGACGCTCTTTCCGCCCTTCCCCTTCCTGCCCCTTTAGGAGCCGTCTCCATGGAAACCACCCGCGCGTCTCTCCTCGCACGACACCTGGGGGGGGGGCCTCATTCCAATCTTTAGCTGCCAGCGTCGTCTCCTTGGCAACCGGCTTCTTCGCGCGCGAGGCCAGAGCGAACGGCCGGCCGGCTCCGAACGGTTGCCATTTAAACAGGGAGACGGTTGGTTGAAGAAGAGGGGCGGTCGTGGTGGTGGGGGTTGGGGGTGGGGGGGTAGGAGAAGGCGTGCTGCTGGTGGTGGTGGGGGGAATGGCCTTCATGTCGAGGAGGCGCCCGATCGCCACCCCAAAGCTGAGCTGGCGGCAGGACCAGGCGCTGGGCAGCACCATGCGCATCGTGCGGGAACTGGGGCCCACCGCTTTCGTCCTGCAGGAGGAGGAGGCGGAGGAGGAGGAAGAGCAGCAGCTCAGGGTAAGGGAGCCTGCGGGGAGGAGGAGGAGGAGGAGGAGGCCCCCTTCGCCCCTCGAGGGAGTCGGAATCTTCTCCCGTAGTAGAGCGCCAGAACGGGACGAGCCATTGGGTGACCCGTATTCTGAAAGGCAAGAAAGGGGACCTATTAGGGTTGCCAGGCCTGGGTTGGAAAATACCTGGAGTCTCTGGGGGGTGGATCCAGGAGAGGGCGGGGTCTGGGGAGGGGAGGGGCCTCAGCAGGGTACAGAGTGCCACAGAGTCCATCCTCCAGAGCAGCCCTTTTCTCCAGGGGAGCTGATCTCTGTCAGCTGGAGATGAGTTGTAAAAGCGGGAAGTCTCCAGGCCCCACCTGGAGGCTGGCAACCTAGGGCGTATTCCCGGACTGGCTGACTGCTTCAGACAAGTCCAGGTGGGCAGCCGTGTTGGTCTGAAGCAATAGAAATGCAGAGTCCAGTGGCACCTTCAGGACCAACCAAGGTTTATTCACCATGTGATCTTTTGTGTGCAAGCGCATGCCTTCAAAAGCTCATACCTTGAATAAACCTTGGTTGGCCTTGAAGGCGCCACTGAACTCTACATTTGTTTCAGACAAGTGATTGCTATGAAAAATCTCAATTTAAATACCCCTGACTGCTTAAGCTGGGAAGATGGATTCCAGTGGGTTAGCCCTGTTGGTCTGAAGCAGCAGAACAAAGTTCGAGTCCAGTGCAGTGTTCCCTCTAAGCTGAGTTAGTGTGAGCTAGCTCACAGTTTTTTAGCCTCCGGCTCACACATTTTTGTCTTAGCTCAGGAAGGAGGGCTCCAGAGCAAACTAATTTATGCAGTAGCCAAATCACTTGCTCACAACTTTAGTGCCAGTAGCTCACAAAGTAGAATTTTTGCTCACAAGACTCCACAGCTTAGAGGGAGCATTGGTCCAGTGGCGCCTTGAAGACCAAGGAAGTTTAATTCTGGGTATCAGCCCGAAGAAGTGTGCGTGCCCACGAAAGCTTATACCTTGAATAAAGCATAGTTGGTCTTAAATGTGCCACTGGACTCAAACTTTATTTAAGCTGTGATAATAGCTACTAACTAGGAATATTCCTGACCTTCTAACCCCAAAAGAGGACATTTTCATCAGTTTTCATCCTGAAAGAGGACACACACACACACAAAAAGAGGACATGTCCTCCCAAAAGAGGACATCAACCCTAATTTCTGGAAATGCAGCACTTTTGCTCCAAGATGTTGTCAGCACACACCCCATCCACAGTCTTCTTTCACTAATTCCTACACAACACCAATTTTCATCTAAGTACCTTCCTCGGAAACGTCTTCAGACAGCGCTGGCTCTTCGGCTTGGAAACGGAGATGAGCACCAGAACCCTAGAGTCGGATTTGACTGGCTTTCGAGCAAGGGAAACCGTTCAACCACCTTCCTCTTTGCCCTGACCTGAATGGCCCTGGCTAGCCCAATCTCATCAGAGTAGCATTGCCAACTTCCAGGTGGAGCCTGGAGATCTTCCCTAATTACAGCTGATCTCCAGACTTACAGAGATTAGTTCCATTGGAGAAAATGGATGCTTTGGAGGGTGGACTCTATGGCATTGTACCCCACTGAGGTCCCTGTCCCCCCCACCCAAGCCCTGCCCTCCTTATGTTCCCCCCCAGTCTCCAAGAGGTTCCTAACCCAGAGCTGCCACCCCTACAATCAGAGCTCAGAAGCTAAGTAGGGTTGATCCTGGTTCGTATTTGGATAGGAGACAACCAAGGAAATCCATGGTTGCTATGTGGAGGCAGTCAGTGGCAAACCACCTCTATTCAGTTCTTGCCTTGAAAACCCTATGGGGTCATCATAAGTCAGCTGCAATTTGACAGTATTTTCCATATTCCTGATCAGTTACAAACCTGTGGTCTCAGTACACACACACTCCCCAGTAAATAACCTCATTTATAATAATGATAGTGTGCCAAGTTGCAACCAACTCATGGTGACCCCAGGACCATGGGGTTTTCAAGGTTAGAGATAAGCAGTGGTTTGCCTTTGTCTAGCAAACACAGTCTTCCTTGGTGGTCTTCCATTCCCTCACTAAACATGGCCAGCTTGCTTAGCTTTCAAGCTTGGACCAGATAGGGCTATTCAGGGTGCTCGGTTTATTTGTTTATTTATTTTGCTGTCACATTGCAGCCAAGTTATGGCGACCCCTTAGGGTTTTCAAGGCAAGAGATCTTCAAGAGGTGGTTTGCCATTGCCGGCCTCTGAGTAGCAACCTTGGACTTCCTTGGTGGTCTCCCATCTAAATACTGACTAGGGCCAATGCTGCTTAGCTTCTCTGATATCCTGGTCAATTTATAGCCTCCCATTATACTAGCCTGCTGCTTAGAGATTTACCAAAATTTACTCTCACTACTCAGACATAGCTGTGGGTGACTATGATGTTTGAAGACAGAGAGACACTTTCCTAGAAGGAACTGCTGCTTGCTCCTGTATGTATTTTATGCTCACATTGCACACACCTTGTTCCTTAACAGTATATCTCCCATTTCAGTCCTTTGCTTTGTAGACTGAAGATGCCCTGCTAAAGCAAGCCCTCAAAGGCTCCACTGTGACCCTTAGTACTATGGGTATTATTTCTGCAGGCCCTTTTTCCCACTCAGGAATTCGGCTTTCAGCTTCATGCACAATATCTGTATTAGCCCTTCTACAGTCCATACCCACAGAGGGACAAAGCCATAAATCCTCCATTGTAAATGCCAGTCATGAATCAGAGTTGTCAAGTATAACTATATGATCAATTTAAAGAGCTCATAAAATAAAAATAGCATTTGCTATTAGTCATCTTCTAGTTTCATAGATGTAGGCGCCCCCCCCCCCCCCCCCCCCCCAGTAAGCTTTCTGGGTATTAGATAAAAACATAGCTGCAGAGTGTCTAGTAATACCACAATGATAGTATTATGGGATGCAAGGATGACACTGACAGCTATTCTGTGGCAATGAATCAAAGGCCAGGGCACAAGCAGCATTGCTTTTCAAGTGGGAATTATGTATGACAATACAGAAAGGGAAGTTTGCATGTAGGAAACCCAGCACTGATTTCCTGTGGATTTCCACTTGTCAAAAAAGTCCAGTGCAGGGCTAAAACAAAAAACCACGTGTCTTTCCCTGGATCTTCATGTGGCCTTGTTAAACAAAGTCCTCGTCTGTGTCTCCTTTTTTCAGCTTAGTTCACTCTCATCCTGCAGTGCCAACCACTTTTTTGGTGGATACACACACAGAGATCTCTTTTACAGGCAGCAGTTGTACTTTAGGATCTGTGAACTTGAAAGTCAAGCTACACCATCCATTTTCTTTCCTTGCTGCTGCTAAACGATATTTTCAAAGCCCTCGGGCCCTATTCTGCTCAGGACCACAATGCAGGGGGAGCCCCCAGGGCTCTGGAAAATGTAATGGGGCAGGAAGGCAGTATCCCATCCTTTGCCTGTGTTGCAGTGCTGAGCAGACGTGGGCCCTTGCAGACTTCTATTTTATTTAATTAATAAAATGTATACATTGCCTTTCTGCTCTCATCAGGCGATCAAGATGGCTAACTTATTAAAACATACATGATGAAAACACATTAAAAAACCCAAACATACAAAAGCATAAACCAATGCTCCCTTCAAGCTGTGGAGTCTTGTGAGCAAAAATTCTGCTTTGTGAGCTACTGGCATTAAAGTTGTGAGCAAGCAATCTGGCTACTGCATAAATTAGTTTGCTCTGGAGCCATCCTTCCTGAGCTCAGACAAAAATGTGTGAGCTGGAGTCTAAAAAACTGTGAGCTTGCTCACACTAACTCAGTTTAGAGGGAACACTGCTTAAAACAGATAGCAGAAAGGAATGATCTCTGAGTGACTGCCAGACAAAACAAAAAAAGTCTTCACCCACTGGCAGAAGATGGCAACAGAAGGGGACAGGTGAGTCTTTCTGGGAAGAAAGAATTCTGAGGCCAAGACTGAGAAGGCCCTCTCCCAGGTTGCCATCTGCCTAATCTGAGAAGGGAGGTTGCTTGAAGCAGGGCTTCTGAAGATGACCATAATTGTTAGATAGGTTCATAAGGGTCCTTGTTTGGTGTAGTGGTTAGGAGCACAGACTCTAATCTGGGAGAACCGAGTCTGATTCCCCACTCCTCTACATGCAGCTGCTGGTGTGATCTTGGGTCAGTTACATTTCAGAGCTATTCTCTCACATGGTGTCTGTTGTGGGGGGGAGAAGGGAAAGGAGATTGTAAGCCGCTGTGAGACTCCTTTGGGTAGTGAAGAGTGGGGTATAAATCCAGTCTCCTCTTCTTCTTGTTGGAGAATTGGTCAATAATTGAGACTTGGTCTTTCTGGCTTTAACATATATTGGATTCTAATAGCTATTCTGGGGTTCAGTATTTCACACTTGGTAAAGCTGATGCCCTGACGATGCTCTTTGGCTTAGTGGATAGCTTACATTTTGTGGTAGTAGTAGCCTCCTAGCTTAAACATATGAATTATCTGGCTCCTCAGGAACTCCTCAAGCGCTTCCCAACCCACTGTGATAATATACAGGTTGCCACTTGGAGAGGTGCCATAGTAGACTTCTTGCCCTCAGATACTCTATTAATAACAGGCAAAGTTCATGCCTTCTGTGTATGAGGGGCTCAATTTGTCAAATGCGTCAAATGTCTGATTGACAGCTATATGGGATTTTACAGGCATATAATATCAGTGGTTTCTTTTGCTTGGGGTTGTAGGCGAACCACCCGCCTTTGAGGTTCTCGACAGACAACCAGAACATATCCCCCATAGAACTACAGTGCACTCTAGTTAGGTGTCTGATTAATCTGATTAATTCTGTATGCTGCATACCAGGATGTTAATGTTTAAAAGTTTTGGGTTTAAAAGTTATGGTTTTCAAGATTCAATAAATAGTTTCTAAGGTAAAGCCACTGTCTTGGTTGTCTCTCTCTGTGAAAACTTTCTTTTCAGTCTCAGTCCAGCCCATAAAATGTTAGTGGGGGTCCCAGGCAATTTCCTGAACATTGAAACCTCTCAACAGTCCTTTCAGGCATCCTGGTCCAAAGCCATATAGGGCTTTAAAGTTCAACACCAGCACTTTGAATGGTTCCCAGAAACAGATTAGGAGCTAGTGTAGATAGGCCAAGACTGGAATGATATGGTCCCTATGACCCACTCCAGCCAACATCCTGGCTGCAGCATTCTGCACCAATTGAAGATTCTGGACACTTTTCCAGGGTAGCCCCATGTACAACAGATTGCAGTAATCTAATGTAGATGTAACCAGGACATGTACCACAGTGGCCAGATCTTTTTCTGCCCAGGAAAAAATGCAGCTGGCTAACCAGTCAAAGCTGGTAAAAGGCACTCCTGGCTACAACTGGCAGCTCCTTACCCAGCAGTAGGCCTGGGCCCAAGAGCATCCTCAGACTACAGACCTGTTCAAGGGGAGTGGAACCCCGTCCATAATGAGTGACACCTTAAATCCCGGGTCAGACATTTTCCACGCACCAGTAGCACTTACATTTTGTCAGGATTAAGCTTCTGTTTATTGCCTTCCATCCATGCCAAAACTGCCTCCAGGCATTTGTTCTGCATTTCTGCAGCCTTTCTGAGATTGGCCAGAAGTGCAAGATTGAGCTGAGTGTCATCTGCATATTAGCAACTATCCAAATCTCTGGGTGACCTCAGCCAGCGTTTCTTGTAGGTGTTGAAAAGCATAGGAGACAAGATGGAGCCTTGCGGGACCCTCGGCCAAAGGCCCCCCAGCACTACCTTCCAAAACCTAACCTCCAGTTAGGACTGAAACCACTGCAAAACGGTGCCTGCCATTCCCAGTCTAGAAGGATACCATGACTGATGATACTGAAAGCTGCTGAGAAGTCCAAAAGAATCAATCCCATGTCCATCTCCCAGCTCTGATCACCCACCATGATGACCCAGGCTATTTCAGTTCAGATTGGAAAGGATCCAAATAATCCACTTCATCTGGGAATGCTTGCAGTTGTTCAGATCAGCAGCTGCAGGGAAATTGAGTTGGAGAACCTGGACCTGGCTTGCTCAGAATTGCATTGTGTAGCTTGCTTTTCGAGATATATGTTGAGTATATAAAACTATAGGAAGAACAGAGAGATTTTAGTACATACTTCAGTTACGTATTTTACCCCACTCTGCCTTAGCCTTCATTCTTCCCTTCTTTGTATTTTATGTTTTTTATTGGTGTAAAAAGGTTTTCCTGGGGAACCCTCACTCGTGCAGCTGCTCAACGTTTGGGAAAGAGAAGGACCTCTGTAAACATATCTGCTGGTAAATATATTTTTATGTGAAATCATGTAATATTACAATAGATTTGGTGTGCATTGGTTTTGTGTGTGTGTGTGTGTTTTTTTTTAGTCTGTCTTTCAGAGGTATAGCTATCTAGCTTCAGAAAAGTCATAGTTATTCCGATCTTACAGAGAGGCTGGCAAGGCAGAGTATCCTCAGGAAGAAGGAACAGGGCAAAGAGCAGGGCAAAGAGTGGAGGAAAGACTGAGAGAAGATGGGGATGAAAAACTGTTAAGGCTGTGATCCTAAGCATCCTTAAGTGGATGTGTTCCATCAGAACCAAAGACAATTCCTGTGCAATCGTATGCCATTTGTTTTGGGGATTCTAAGTATAGAGCTTAAGAGGTAGAAAAAGAGGAGTGATTCATGTTATGATGGAAAACTGCAAATTGTACAGATCGAAAGCCATACAGAATAACACAGGGGTGTCAAACATAAGGCCCAGGGGCCTAATCCAGCCCATCCAGGGCTCTTATGCAGCCCGTGAGCAACTGATGCAAGGGAGGAAGTGCGGGGGGAGTGGGCAGAGCCACTCCATTGTGGCTTTGGCATGGCAGAACAACCTCATCTGTAGCAGTCAAGCATTGTGGGATTATCTGCGCAGTGCTGCACTGCTGCCTCTCCAGTCCGCCTAGGTGGGTTTTCCTTTGCATGCTCCTCCCAGCCCATGGGGCTTTGCGGTGAGGATACACCAACTCGGAACTTACTGTCCTTTATACATTTTCTGTCTCTGGTACCTAGCATTACATTTTATGGCACACATGACCTGGCCCAACAAAGTGACAAAAGTGTTTTTTACGTTCCTGCAAAGGTAAAAAGACACCTTTAGTTATGTTATATATATACTGAACAACTGATACCTTTTGCTGTTTATTACTAGGTTATTGCTGAAAAAATTCAAACTTTCAAGAGACCATGAATGTAAGTACTGGTCACTCTCGCTTTAGTTCTTCCTTTTTTGTGGATCAGTACAGAAAGTGCTGATGTTATCACAGTTTTTCATTTTCTCCCTACAAGATCATTTTTGATGATCTTTTTAAAGGTAGAGTTCTGTTTTTGTGATTGGCTCTTCATATGGGTCCACTTGTGTGTTGCAGGGTCATTTCTTACAGACCCCAGCTTGATTTCCAGATTGGGGCCATGCTCCGACCCCAATCTTATGCTTATGCACATTGTCTTTATAAAGTACTGAGACTGATGCATAGCATAGTGATTTCAGCTCATACTTTATTATAGATGGAAGAGTAAGAGATACCTTTGCCGGTTTGCAGGCCGGCTTATATTCGCAACTCACACTTCACCCACCCACCCACACACCCGTGATTGGATATTTACAGTGCAACCCCGAGACCCTAGGTCCCTCCTAGGATCCTAGCTTCCCCCATAGGTGTGTGCTAGGATCAATTTAGGCTATTGTCTCTGTAAGCGAAGCTCGGGTTTTTAGCCTGACCGTGTGTTTGCCCGACCACGTGCGTGGGCTTCCCTGGGTACACAACATCCCTCCCCCCCGGTCCAATTGGCCTGAACACATGTAGTCCTTGAGGTATGCCGGTTTCTTATGCTCCCATGTGGAATGATGGACGTCTGGAACCGGAGTGGAGCTTCCTTGTACTGTTTCTGCGGGTGCTGGGGCCGGCGCTGTCGCAGGGGGTATTTCCTTCGGGGCAGTCGAGCTGCTGGGCTCTGGGTAGCTCATCGGCTCTGGGTTGCCGCCGTCTTCCCCACCGGGGATCAGGCTGAATGCTGGAAGTGGAGGGCCCGTGGTTGCCAGTCCCCCGGGGTAGATGGCAGCCTTGTTTGGTTGTCTGGGGCCAGCTGCAGGACTCAGCGGCGGAGCTGATCTATGTGGCGCTTCCAAAGCTGCCCATCCTCGCTGACGACTTCATAGGATAGAGGACCAGTTACCTGAACCACTCGTGCTAGAACCCACGTGGGACCCCGGCTGTAGTTGCAAGCGTAGACTGGGTCCTCCGGGAAACCCCCTCTTGGGGCCTCCTAGTTGACTGGGTGGGTGCTGTGATCCGGGGCCCGGTCCGGGTGGAAATGGTCCAAGTGGGTTGTCAGACGGCGACCCATGAGCAGCTCCGCCGAGCTGTGGCCAGTGGCGGAGTGCGAGGTGGTGCGCTGGCCGAACAGGAAAGCCGCCAACTTGTAGTCCCAGTCGCCCCGGTCCATGTGGCGCAGCACCTCTTTCGTTGTTCAGACCATCCGCTCCGCCTGGCCGTTGGTGCTGAGCGGATGTGCCAGATCCCATAATACTCCAGGAACTAGGCCGACGGCTGTGCCATTGTCAGTGACTAAAGAGTCCAGGATCCCATGTGAGCTGAAAATCCATCACATTGCTTTGATGGTGGACCGGGAAGAGGTGGAGGAGACGGGTGTCACCTCCAACCATTTCGTGTAAGTATCTACCAGGATGAAAAAGATCTGTCCCTGGAATGGCCCTGCGAAGTCTAGGTGGAGTCGCACCCACGGCTTGTGGGGCGACTCCCAGGGTGTTACTGCAGCTGCTGGGGGCTGTGACCGGCACTTATGGCACCGCTTCACAGTGTCTTCTATCTGGGCGTCTAGTCCCAGCCACCATACAGAGCTCCGGGCCAGGGCTTTCATCCTTACTACTACGGAGTGGTGCTCATGCAAAGTGGTTAGTATGTGGCTTTGCAGCAGTTGTGGAATCACCATCCGACTTCCCCACAACAAACATCCTTTGTGGGACGACAGCTCATCCCAGCGGCCGGCGAATCCCACAAACCCGGAACCCATCTGACCTGCAGGCCACCCCCTCCGCACTCAGTCGAGGACCCGAGAGAGAATGCGATCCCGGGCGAAGTGGTGGGCAACCTCTCCCACCTGTACTGGGTGATTGGACAGGTCCTCCAGTAGGGCGACGTGATGTGCGGGGTCGGGGTCAGAGGAGGGCAGCGGCTGGTGGCTCAAGGTGTCGGCATGGCCCATCGCCTTACCGGGGCAGTGGACTAGTGCATACTTGTACCCCGCAGGAAAAATAGAACAGCGGAGCACCCAGGGGGACAAGATCTGAGGGGTCTGGCGGTCTGGGGTGAGCAAACCCAGCAAAGGCTTGTGGTCAGTGGCGATTGTGAATGGCCGGTCATAGAGGAAATTGTGAAATTTTTTCACGCTGGCAACGATTGCTAGGGCCTCCTTGTCTATTTGAGCGTAGTTATGCTCTGTGGCCAACAGGGTGCGAGAATAGTAGGCAATGGGAACCTCGCAGCTGTTGGTCAGCCGGTGACCATTGAGGACCCGGGAGAGAATGCGATCCCGGGCGAAGTGGCAGGCAATCTCTCCCACCTGTACCGGGCGATCGGACAGGTCCTCCAGTACGGCGACGTGATGTGCGGGGTCGGGGTCAGGGGAGGGCAGTGGCTGGCGGCTCAAGGTGTCGGCATGGCCCATCGCCTTACCGGGGCAGTGGACTAGCGCATACTTGTCATGGGCAGGGACTCATCGAAGTGGGCGAGTACAGCGTTGGAGACCAACAAGTCTTTGACCGCACGGAAGGTGGCATGCCCATCGCCTTACCGGGGCAGTGGACTAGCGCATACTTGTACCCCGCAGGAAAAATAGACCAGCGGAGCACCTGGGGGGACAAGATCTGAGGGGTCTGGCGATCCGGGGTGAGCAAACCCAGCAAAGGCTTGTGGTCAGTGGCGATTGTGAACTGTGGGGGAGGAAGGAATGGAAGAAATTGAAAAGCCCCAGGAAAGCCTGGAGCTCCGCCTTCGAGGAGGGCGAGGGGGCCTGACTGATGGTGCGGATTTTCTCCTGAGTAGGGTGAATCCCCTGGGCATCGACAGCAAACCCCAGGAACTCCACCCAGGGTACTTCCAGGATGCACTTCTCCTGCTTCACCTTCAGCCCAGTGTTGGCAAAGCGCTTGAGCACGGCCTGGAGCCGCTCTGCAAAGGTCTCGGAGTCTGGAGCAATTATCAAAACGTCATCGAAAAACATTGTGACATTTTTTCACGCCGGCAACGATTGCTAGGGCCTTCTTGTCTATTTGAGCGTAGCCAACAGGGTGCGAGAATAGTAGGCTATGGGAACCTCGCAGCCGTTGGTCAGCCGGTGACCGTCCCCACCCTGTAGGGAGATGCGTCACAGGCCAATACCATGGGCAGGGACTCATCGAAGTGGGTGAGTACAGCATTGGAGACCAACAAGTCTTTGACCGCCCAGAAGGTGGCATCATGTGCCGGACCCCAGACCCAAGGGGCCTGCTTGTCCAAGAGCCGGTGCAGCGGTTGATGGCGGCCTTGTGGGGGAGGAAGGAATGGTAGAAATTTAAAAGCCCCAGGAAAGCTTGGAGCTCCGCCTTCGAGGAGGGCGAGGGGGCCTGACTGATGATGCGGATTTTCTCCTGAGTAGGGCATCGACAGCAAACCCCAGGAACTCCACCCAGGGTACTTCCAGGATGCACTTCTCCTGCTTCACCTTCAGCCCAGTGTTGGCAAAGCGCTTGAGCATGCCCCTGAGCCGCTCTGCAAAGATCTCGGAGTCCGGAGCAATGATCAAAATGTCTTCGAAAAATGGCTGGACTTTTGGTATCCCTGCTAGGCGGTCCAGTGCGGCTTCTATCTTTGGACAAAGTGCTATCGGGGCCCACCTGGCCTTAATTCTAATTGGCCGCACCGTGGGGGTCAAGGTCTAGGGAAACGGGGGGTCCGGAGTAATGGTCAACTGTGCCATCAAAAACTCCCGAAAGTCCCGGCAGACCGCATCAAATGTCTGCGTTTGTACAGAATGGACGCCCGTCACAGTAAAACTCAAGGGCCCAAACCACACAAGTCCCAATAGGCTAGTGAGTTTCCCTTCCACCACCAGCAATTCTAAGAGTCCGTCAAAGTCCCAGAACTGCACCGTGAATCTGCCCCAGCCCTTGATGGCCACAGGGTTTTTCTGAAAGTCTCGCAGAGACAAGCCCCGTGGCTTTAACTACTAATTGTATGTTAAATATGATGTACTCTGCCCCAAGCTCTTTGGGGGAGGGCGGTTTAGAAATTCAATTAGTGGGGTCAAGGTCTAGGGAAACGGGGGGTCCGGAGTAATGGTCAACTGTGCCATCAAAAACTCCCGAAAGTCCCGGCAGACCGCATCAAATGTCTGCGTTTGTACAGAATGGACGCCCGTCACAGTAAAACTCAAGGGCCCAAACCACACAAGTCCCAATAGGCTAGTGAGTTTCCCTTCCACCACCAGCAATTCTAAGAGTCCGTCAAAGTCCCAGAACTGCACCGTGAATCTGCCCCAGCCCTTGATGGCCACAGGGTTTTTCTGAAAGTCTCGCAGAGACAAGCCCCGTGGCTTTAACTACTAATTGTATGTTAAATATGATGTACTCTGCCCCAAGCTCTTTGGGGGAGGGCGGTTTAGAAATTCAATTAGTAGTAGTAGTAGTAGTAGTAGTAGTAGTAATAATAATAATAATAAAAAAGTTGTTACTGGACCCTTGGACACTTCTTTACCCTAAGGAAGGGGAGGAGAAGAGATGTGACTAGGAAGGATTTCATGTCAGAAAGGAGGTGTGGGATAGACCAGAGAGATGAATTTCTTGAATAAAATTCATTAAAATACAAGGTGATGTCAGGAAAATCTCTTTGTTAGAATAACACATGCCAAGCCAGCAGTGCTCAATTGGATCAGCTTCTCTGTGGGTTTCCCATTGAGCCAGACTCCAGTTTTGTCCACATTTTGATAAGCAATTCCCCCCCCTTCATGGCTGTTCATTGTGGCTTACTCCTGCCTCTTCTTATACCCTGTTTGCCTCCTTTGCCTTGTAAATACTCCTTGCCTGAGGCTTGCAGAGCTTCTTTGACATATAACAAATAAGGGCTTGCTAAAACTTCTTGAGTTTAGTGGAAAAGATGGATTGATGACAGGCCAGGTGGCAGAGACGTATGCCAACAAGATGAGGCTGAAAGCTCATGACAGTAGGGGTACGGTTTAGAACATTACTTAGTTGACTGTGCCTAGTTTGGTTGCAAAACAAATATAATGACATTTTATCAGAGATTTTCAAATTGGAACTTTTTTTGCAGACGCTCTAAAGTTGGGTCTCGCAGAAAGAGAAATTAACTATGTGCTTCAGGGCCCTCAAGTCGCTCTCCAACCCAAAGTAACTATTAATTGCGCAAAGGAGTTGCAAACGGATGGTGATGTCTTCATTAAACAAAAAGAAATTGAGAACGAGGATGTATGCCCAATTTGCCAGGATGTGCTATTTAGGAAAATGCTTCCTGTCACCTATTGCAGGTGAGTCCTCTCTGATGGTTGGAAGGATAAATTGTCACGAGACAGTAGTATCTTTGTAACCAAAGCATTGATTTAATAGTCCCAAGATAAATGGTTGAGGGTTTGTTTTATTGATGCCAGATTGGCATTGGCATACAAAACCATAAACTTCTCTTGGAACTTAAAAATAGCTGTCTTGTTCAGTGTTCCCTCTAAGCTGAGTTAGTGTGAGCTAGCTCACAGTTTTTTAGCCTCTGGCTCACACATTTTTTGTCTTGGCTCAGGAAGGATGGCTCCAGAGCAAACTAATTTGTGCAGTAGCCAAATTGCTTGCTCACAACTTTAATGCCAGTAGCTCACAAAGTAGGATTTTTGCTCATAAGACTCCACAGCTTATAGGGAACATTGGTCTTGTTCACTATTGCCTTAAGACAGAACGGTGATAATTTTCTCAGTGCTTTGGGACGCAGTATGGTGGAATCCTTAGTTTATATTGCAAGTATGCACATTTGTCTTCTCAGTTTACAAGTGGTCAGCAGTCAGAGAGGTTTTGCAGCTTTTTATAGTATATTAAGCTTTCCTACAACACCATAGTTAAGAGCGAGTTCCTGAATGGGAAAAAAGGCAGTGAGATTGTACCAGAAGATATTTTGATAGGTGCAGAATACCATTTACATGGAGCACTTGCTCTAATTCAGTTAGCTTAGGCTGCTAAATGAAGTGGGAGGACCAACCTAAAGCTAGCTTTTATCTACTCATTATATTTTTGGGGCTTAATTTTGGCTATCCAAATGCCTAAGCCCAAAAAATCCTGAAATATTCAAGGTAGCTGGATACCCAAAGTTAAAGGGCATTTAAAGGGATCACAGCTGTGAAAAGGGATCACAGTCCCTTTAAATGCCTTTG